TAAATAACAAGAGATAGTATTGGGAGTACAAATAAGTTTCCGCCGTTTGCAAAAGACGGCGCCACTAATAAACTATAGTTAAAATTGTTTGATAAAATTGTTTGTAAAACGACATCGTAAGATTGGACATTCGGTAACACCTTGAAATATTAGCGATTTTGTATTAGCATCATATATTTTTTTTTGTATGAAAATAGAGTTTTGAGCCGAATAAGCGTCATTTGCGAGAACTTTTGATTTATTTCTTTAATTTGAAAAAATCTGCAGCTGAGGATCATAGATTGCTTGTAGAAGCATATGGTGATGCTGCCTTAAGTGAGAGAAGTTGTCGTGAGTGGTTTCAAAAGTTTAAGAACGGTGAATTTGACGTCGAAGACAAAGAACGTAGCGGAAGGCCGAAAGTGTACGAAGACGCGGAATGGGAAGCATTATTGGATGAAGATTCGTGCCAAACGCAAAAAGAACTTGCACTTATTTTTTTAGGAATGACTCAACAAACAATTTCATATCGTTTGAAATTATTGGGAATGATTCAAAAGCAAGAGAATTGGGTTCCATATGAACTGCCGTTCCATATGAAGCCGAGAAACGTTGAACGCCGATTTTTTACATGTGAAATGCTGCTTGCCAGACATAAACGAAAGGGTTTTTTGCATCGTATAGTCACTGGTGATGAAATGAATCCGATAATTCAAAGAAGAGGAAATCATGGGGACCACCTGGCCATGCTTCAACATCGAGCCGAATATTCATGGAAAAAACTCATGTTGTGTATTTGGTGAGATCAGCTTGGTGTCGTGTATTATGAGTTGCTCAAACCGAACGAGACCATTACTGGGGCTCTCTACCGAACGCAATTGATGAGATTGAGCCGAGCACTCAAGGAAAAACGCGTCCATTACTCCAGGTATGACAAAATTATTTTCCTGCATATAATGCCCCACATGTTGTGGCGCCGGTCAAAACCTACTTAGAAACACTCAAATGGAAAGTTCTATCCCACCCGCCGTATTATCCAAACATTGCTCCTTCCGACTACCACTTGTTCCAATCGATGACGCATATTCTGTCTGAGCACCACTTCACATCATATGAAGATACCAAAAATTATATCGATGATTGGATAGCCTCAAAAGATGAAGCGTTCTTCCGACGCGGTATCCATATGCTACCAGAAAGATGGGAAAAAGTAGTGGCTAGCGATGGCCATTACTTTGAATAAAACGTTATATACCGTTCTTTCACAATAAATGCTTAATTTTGTATTAAAAACGGCTTATTTGTACTCCCAATATCATTTGTTTTACTTTTTAATTTGAACAGAATTTAACTTGATTAGTTAAGATTGTAGCACCTGGTTTTAATTTTTCATTTGATACATTAATTTTTTTCGAAGAGTAATAATTTTAATTTGACAGAATTAAAGATGCCATTACTTAGGTTGGAGTAAGAAGACCTTCAATAAGAATATTCTTGAAGAAAAATTAAAACTACTATTAATTGGGTTGGATACTTAAGTTTTATTCAAGAAGCAAGTATGCCTTTTTTAACCATTTTTAAAAAAGTAAGTTTGTACTGACATTACGTATTTTGTCGTGACGTTTTTAATTAATTTCGTTTTCATTTGATTCTCCTTTTGTTAAATATTAAGTCATAAACAAATGGAAATCGTTATCGAATAAATTGGTTTGTCATTATCATTTCCTCAGATCGATATTCATAGTCAGATCTTATATGGTATTCAAGACTGTCTTAAGAAGTCACGCAGAAAGCTGCATTAGCGTCTTAAGACATTACTTAAGACGCTCTTGAAATAAGACTATGAAGACACGGTCTCAGTTAACAAATACCAGTGTATAATTTCATTTCCGTTCGATCTTCTTTCGTTAAATATTAATTATAAACAAACAGAAATAAATCTCTTTTTCATTATCACTTCCTAACTTAGTTAACTTAATAAATACGAATATAATTTCATTTCCATTCGATCTTCTTTTGTTAAATATTAATTATAAACAAATGGAGATAAATCGCTTATTCATTTCCTAGCTTAGTTAACAATTACCAGCGTATAATTTCCATCTGATTTCTTTTTGTTATATATTAAGTTATAAATAAATAAATAGAGTTCAATAATAACAAATTATTTTTTTATTATCATTTCCTAGCATAGTTCTCGAAAAATTCTCGATTATTCCCAATTTTCGCAATCAAAACATTAATTTTGAAAGTGCTGAATATCTGTTATCGATAGCTTGGTGCGCGAGGACTGTTTGGCTAAAGTGGATATAAAGAGAGACGCCAATTAACCGGAAGTCGTCATTTGGTATCCTACATCTGAGTCATTTATATGATGCAATTCTTCATCTTAATCTCTTCTTTCTTTAACGTTGTCTTCTTTTAATTAACAGTGGTTTAAATCGGATCAAGGCCCCTATTCTTAAGCTCATATAAATTTAATATACGAAAATGATAGTTTCTCGACTTTGACTGGTCCATTGTATACAGAATTGCTATTTTCGTATGCGATATTTCTTCAAGAATAGAATATCCCTATTTTAAGAACCAACTAACTACAGTCGAGTATTCCCCTATTATAGTCGAACGACAGGGGAATGCTCGATTGTAGTTGATTGGTTTTTACATTCTGATTCGGATTAAACCCTCAGTGAAAACTAGGCCAATAAGGACATGGCGTAACCAATTAGCGTTATATACAATGATAGTATATCTTTAGAATGAGAATCGGTTTACACTCATTGGATATCGCATGTCGCGCGCGACTAACATCGCGTTGGTGTGCCGGAACCAGGCATGGATTAGTGCCTAACTCTCTTTATACCCACTCTATGCCTGGCAAGCGGCCCGCGCTCCGTTGCGAAAATCGCGTGCGGGATTTCATCGAAGACGGACGTTTTCGGTGTTACTTCTTCTCGAATGTTGCATCACCCTCATAACCGTTCTTTTCAGATAGTATTGCCAGATCATGATCTTAATGCAAACCCCCCAAGCTAGCCTATATTTCCCCTTATCTAGATTGATATTAAAACCCCTAGATTAAAAAACACACACACACACACACACACACACACACACACACACACACACACACACACACACACACACACATGAAATGAAAATGTGTTTAAATGATGTGTTTGAAATGATTTTATTCGAACAACGTACTTAATTTAGTTTTGCATTAAGTATAATGACTACGTATTCTTCTAATTTTATAGAATTAGCATTCTATGAAAATGTATCTAGTATTTCTTCTACAAAGTTAGAAGAATACATAGTTTCGAATTAAATTTATTTAGCATATTTTTTTGAATTCAAAAGCGATACAGCCATTTAGTAAATTATTTCTGATGCATAAAATAGTGTCTGCAGTTTCTACTGACATTCTATTTCATAACTTATCTTTAATGATATTAATAATTGAGAATGCTCGCTCAACGCTCGCATTAGAAAAAAGTAAACTCATTAAAGCTTATACATCCATTTGACAATCATCAAATTTGCCAGGCAAGTGCCAAGATATGTCGTAATACTTCGTATTACGATTTACGCAGTTTCACCATTTATCCCAAGAGTAAAATCATGTTTTTCTTGCTACAAAATCGGACATATTAGGAAATATTGTAGCGGTAGCCCTCGATGCAGGCTGTGCGGAAAGGATTCACCATATGAAGACGGGGTAATCTGCGAGAGACAGAATTTGCCTCCCATTACTGCGAGGGTAATCATCTCTCCTCTACTTCTTCTATTTGCCCCTTGTTTATTAGACAAAAGAATATTCATGTTCTGGTTTCTGCTGAGAATATCTCACTTAACGAAGCAAGGAAAAGAATTTTTCGAGTTCCTGATTCAATTGACCCTCAGGATACTCTGGATTACAACATTGCACAGCATATGGATTATCGTAGCTTCTCCACGCTTTCGCATAAAGATTTCTCGAATTTTATCTTTTCTCCTTTTAACCTCATAACAGATTTTCTATATTGAAGGACGCCAAACGCCTACGCCTTATTCAGAGAGGTAGTTCAAAAGAGTCTGATTCAAAAAATTACAAAGGAGACAGAAATTCTTAACCATACTCCTCTCGCAACCTCAGGAGATCAGACTTTAAGAATCATAGCTCAGGAAAACTTCTGTCAATTAGAATTCCACAGAACGAGGATGAGCCAAGATATCAATTACTAATGGCTCCTAACGAAAGATCTCCTCCCTTTCAGGCAGGTAACGGCATTGTCTTCCAAAACGAAATCTGTAACGATCCAGAACTAAGCAAGATCAACAATCTGTAAAGAGCTAGTCTTTTTCTGACCATAATTTATTGTCACGTTCATTAAAACTTTGGAACACTGCAATCCTCCAATATAATTTCCCACAACCGCTGAATATGATATTCATTAACACTTTATCTATGTTTACAAATCAATCGACAGTTAACTCTTTTTGTATGTAAATAACAACGTGACTACGTCACGTACAGGATAGGCCATCTAGCGTTTGGAATTTCAACTACCGGTTATTTTGAATTTGAAAGTCGTAATAACATTTATGATGTATCAGAAATTTAGTTTTTCAGAAATTTAGTTTTTCAATTATGCCCGACTATGCTTTGGATATTTAGTACCTACAAAAGATCAAACTTCTCGAAAATATCTTAATTCATTCTAAAATTTATAAGTCCATTAGAAGCGACATATCTGAATTTGATTAAAGTGGCATAGCTATTAAAGTGGCGATAGCTATTAAAAGATCTCTCAAATTTGAGACCTTTGATCTTTCTCAATTCCCCCATAAAACAGGAGATTTTGAGTATATGTATTCATATCAACAATTCCCCCTGCCTTATCATTAACGTATTATAACGTATATATATACATATATAACGTATTGTATATATACCCTAACTCTCATACACCTCAAGTAATCTTTGAGTAACTGTTAAATTATACTTCATCTCACGCGCAAGTATTAAGGCTCCTGACTACTCAGCCAAGAACTCTGCATTGATGGTGGCGACACAGAATCAGACGGCGGTTTAGTGAAACAGTAGCCAACACTTAAGCATGAACCCATGTCCTCGTCTGCGGCACACCGAGAGTGAGCGAGACAGCGAGCTCCTTCTCACACTTCTTTCAAGTGACCGAAAATGCTTTCTTGGCAATCTCGGCCACTCGGCGACCCTAGGTATCAATAAGAGACGGGAGTATTATTCTAAATAACATTTAAGTTTTAATAAATTGTAGTAATAGTATACTCCTCCCATTAATCCAGAATAGTATAAATCATGTTAAAACGCAACAGTTTACGAGATATTTAATTGTTTACGATTTTTCATGCGCGTTATATAGTATACCTCTCCTTCATAAACTCGAGAATAGTTCAGTAGAAGTAGAATTTTACCGGAAAAAATTATAAATTAGCATTTCTTTTCACGAAAGTCTCGAAAGACCATCAGAAAAGAAATGCGTATTTTTGAGACTCGAGACTTGTGAAGAAAATATGCGAAAAAAATCGAATAGTTGCAAAGAGCACATTTTTCACTCTTAAAAACGAAAAATATTAATTGTATGAAAAAATAAACTAGTATAAAAAAATGTAGATATTCGAAATAACTACAAAATGAAATGTGAAACATTAAAATCGAACTATTAGTTTAATAGAAAAAAAATAAAAAACACCGAAAAAGACCTTTTTTTCATTCATTCTTTGTTCATTGAGATTTAAACACAAAGCTTTAAAATTCTCGTAAAATGTAACCTTCGTAATGACGAACAAATCTAGCCTTGAACAAGCCTGAAATGTTCATTAGTTTTTGCAAAAAATTATTTGTTTAATAAAAACTCTGCGGAAAATGTAATTTCTTCATCTTTGAGCAATCGCACAGCAATTTACAGGGGTGATTTTTCTTCTTCGAGAATTGAAACTATCACGTATATTTAATAATAAAACAATTTTTTGCTGTTAAACTATTATAAAACGACTTTAAAAAATGGGTATCTTTTTTCATATAAAAAAATGGAAATAATTTGCATCATATCAAATAACCATGAGAAATATTCGAAATCTGATATTTTTCTACGAATTTAAAAAAAAAAGATTAGATCTTCCTTTATTAGGAGCCAAGATAACAATTTAAAAAAAAAATTACTGTAGTTTTAGTTTTTAAGATTAAAAGTTCCGTTTGGCATCAATTTGTCAAGGAAAAATTGAATTTGCTATTTAAAAAATCTCGAATTGTAACCATGAAACTTTTAATTTAGAAAATTTTTTCTTTCTTGAATTTTTATTTTTTTCGGTTTATTAAAAAAATCACGTTTGAGCATGTCTGATTAACAAATTTAAATTACATTAACTATGTTTCTTTATTTAATATGTTATAAAAAAATGTCCAATTGGTCAATTATGAAATTATCAGTACAAAATTGTTTTTGTGAATATAATTACAAATGCAAATATGACATATGTAAACAAATAAGTAATTTGCCAAAAATGTTAGCCAAAACTGTTGAAGATATACTCTAACTTTCGCAAATATAAAAGAAAATTAGTGTTACATGAAAAATATATTTTGCAACTATTCAACAGTTACATTAACATTTGGCAAATTATTTATTATTTGTTTACATATGTCATATTTGCATCTGCAATTATATTCACAAAAACAATTTTGTACTGATGATTCTGTACATTTAATTGTCCAATTGAACACTTTTTACGATATGTTAACTAAAGAAATATAGCTAATGTGACTTAAATTTGTTAATCAGACATGCTCTCCACTGAAACGTAATTTTTTAATAAATTGAAAAAATAAAATTCCAGAAACAAAAAACTAAAAATTTCATGATTACAATTTTACTTTGCGAAACATTTGGTTAAACTATTTGTTTATATCTTGTCGAGCTATCCCAGATTTAAAAAAAATTAGGTTTCCACATCAATTTATTGTTGAGAAAATATAAATTTAGCAATTTTAACATATGAAATCAAATGCAATCGCCGAGCGGACCAATTTTCCCCACTTGACTGTGCGTCAGCTTCCCTCCAAAGTTGTTTTAAAAATTTTCTTTTTAAACAAATGTTTAAAACATGATTAAACATGTTTTTTTTTAAACAATTTAAAACAAATGTTTAAAACATTATTTAAAAAAAATATTTTTAATACTATTTATTAATAGAGGAGAAGGTGATACTCCAGTTATATTTTACACGATAACTTGATTAATAATGAATATTTAAGTTTAAAACTTGACAATTACATTCATTAAAATGTTGTTGAATCGATTCTAGATTCAAAATTACGAAATATTTATTACTTAAGACATTATTAAAAAAATGTGACAACATTGCATAATGGCGAATTGAAGAGAAACACATGGATAATAATATGGCCTTTCATAAAAATAGTCTTAAAAAGTTAGTTTTGTTTAGAAAACAGTAGTTTAGTTATAAAATTAATAAAAAAGTAGAGTATTGCAGAATATATGCATATATACAAATGTATATACATACACATGTATATACATATAATTTTATATATACAAAGTACTCTGTCCCTTATATATATAGAGTATTCTGTATACGATTTTTAAACAAAAAAATTGTTTTATTTTTTTTTTAAACATGTTTTTTATCAACTCTGCTTCTTTCATTCCGCCCGGCGCATTACCTCGTTCGCGTTCTTCAACTTTCTAATTTTAAACAAACTTTTTCGGCAGCAAAAAATTCGAATTTTTCAACAGCAAAAGTTCAATTCTTCCTTGACAAATTGGTGCCAAACTGAACTCTTAATCTTAAAATTAGAGCCACAGTGATTTATTGAAAAAAAATTATTATTTCGGCTCCTAGTCGGAAGGTAATTTTTTTTTAAATTCGTAGAAAAATGTCAGATTTCGTGCTTCACACGGCTATTTGATATGATGCATATTAATGAAATTTTTCCATTTTTTTATACGGAAAAAGATATCTACTTTTTAAAGTCGTTTTATAATAGTTTAACTGCAAAAAAATCATTTTGTTATTAAATGTACGTGATAATACAATTCTTGAAGAAGCAAAATCTGTAAATTGCTGTGCGACTGCTCAAAGATAAAGAAATTAGATAAGTTTTCCGCAGACAGGTTTTTACTGAACAAATGGCTTTTTGCAAAAATTAATGAACATTTTCAGGCTTGTCCAAGACTAGATTTGTTCGTCATTATGATGACTACATTTTACGAGAATTTCAAAGCTTTGCGTTTAAATCTCAATGAACAGAGAGCGAATGAAAAAAGCCTTTTCGATGTTTTTAAAGTTTTTTTTCTACTGAACTAATAAATCGATTTTAATATTATTTAACGTCTCATTTTGTAGTTATTTCGAATACGTATATTTTTTTATACCGATTTTTTTTCATACAATATCTTTCGTTTTATAAGTGAAAAACGTTTTTTTATCTATCGATTTTTTTTCGCATATTTTTTTCACAAGTCTCGAGTCTCGAACATACGCATTTCTTTTCTGATGGTCTTTCAACACTTTCTTTTTTGAAAAGAAATGCTGGTTTATAATTTTTTTCCAGTAAAATTCTATTTCTATTGAACTATTCTTGCTACTCGAGTTTATGAAGGAGAGGTATACTATATAACGCGTATGAAAAATCATAAATAATTAAAAAATGGATACTTTTCCGTAATAAAAAAATGAAATAATTTCGTTAATGTGTATCATATCAAATATATGATACATCATATCAATCATATCGTATGAAGCATTTGAAATCTAATATTTTTCTACGAATTTAAAAAAAAAGATTATTAGGAACCGAGATAACAATTTTTTTTCAAAACACTGTGGCTCTAATTTTTAGGATTAGAGTTCCGTCTGGCACCAATTTGTCAAGGAAGAATTGAATTTGCTGTTAAAAAATCTTGAATTGTAACCATGAAATTTTTATTTAAAAAAGTTTTGTGTTTCTTGAATTTTTATTTTTTCGGTTTATTACTAAAAAAATCACGTTTGAATGTGGAATACATGTCTGATTAACAAATTTAAGTCACATTAGCTATATTTTCTCATTAAGGTGAGTCACACGATTATTACTGATTTTAAGTATTGAATTAACAGTAAAATGTTAATAATTTATATAGCGTATTGATTACTGCATTTCTGCCAATGACTTATCTGCGAATGACTTACTTTCAACGTGGTATTATATTCTACTTTTTCGCTAAAGAGGACTCCAAAGTGAGCCAACGTTCGATACAATAAATGAAGACAACACTTGAGTATTATCTACATCTCCTAACTCTTCGCTCTTACAACAGCGTTAGACTCTCATTAACCTTGTTCTAATTTTCTAATTATTGAATCTAAGTAAGCTTGGAACTTAGTGTTGACAACTTTTAGATGAGGCTGTGAAATCTTGAAAAGGCACTTTGAATCTGGGACTGGGACTGGGACACTTGCTGTCTTCTTGTTGAAAAGTAGGTAATTCGTTCCGAAAATGCTTTTTCGGCCGCTCGGCAGTCCTAGGTATCAATAAGGGGGGGGGGGGGTATTCTAATAACATATAAGTTTTAATAAATTGTAGTAATAATGTAGGCCTCCCCTTAATCTAGAATAGTATAAATCATGTTAAAACGCAACGTTTACGAGAATAAACCGAAAAAATAAAAATTCAAGAAACACAAAACTTTTTTAAATAAAAATTTCATGGTTACAATTCAAGATTTTTTAACAGCAAATTCAATTCTTCCTTGACAAATTGGTGCCAGACGGAACTCTAATCCTAAAAATTAGAGCCACAGTGTTTTGAAAAAAAATTGTTATCTCGGTTCCTAATAATCTTTTTTTTTAAATTCGTAGAAAAATATTAGATTTCAAATGCTTCATACGATATGATTGATATGATGTATCATATATTTGATATGATACACATTAACGAAATTATTTCATTTTTTTATTACGGAAAAGTATCCATTTTTTAAAGTCATTTTATAATAGTTTAACTGCAAAAAATTGTTTTATTATTAAGTGTACGTGATAATGCAACTCTTGAAGAAGAAAAATCATCCCTGTAAATTGCTGTGCGA